AAAAAAAAAAAAAAAAGAATCGTGGAGACTCCGGTTCAAATTCCAGCTCTTCTCCTCACTGCCTGCGGGGCCACCTGGCCTTTCAGATGCTCCTTTCACTTGCCAGTAAAATTGGTTCCGTCATGGCTTCCCTGCAGGGCTGCTGGGAGGACACAGAGATAATGTATGTGTTATCATCACACCTGAGACTCGCCAGAAGTCCGCCTAGGCTCGGCTTAGAAGTTACTTCTTCTGGGAAGCTTGTCCCCAGCCCCTGGGTTAGGGGCTTCCTCTGAGCCACACCAGCCATCTCTACACTCACTGCCCCATGTTGTCTGTTTCCTTGTCTGTGCCCAGCTCCAGCCCCAGGTCTGGGAGCTCCTCAAGGGCAGGCAGGGGGTGACTTTCCTCTCGGAGTCACCAGCACCCAGGACAGGGCTGGGCCCAGGGAAGGGAAGCCCAAGGGATGGTGAAGAGACCCAGAAGGGGGACTAAACCCCAGTCGTCTGTCCAGCTGTGTGTCTGTCCGTGCTCCTCAACCTCACACAGGCACAGACACACACCTGCACGTGCTCTCTCAAGCTCTCTCTGGCTGAAGGTCCTGGGGTCGGTGAACACTGTTACTCCATCTGGTCTGCAGCTGCGGGGGAAGGGCTGCTCTCCCCCATCTGCCTGTAGCCTCGGCTGCCACCTGGTGGCTGTACACTCAATGGGACAGGCAGATTCAACAGAACCTTTGAACTTGACCTTCAGGGGCCTCTTCCCCCTTAAGCACCGGGACCAAAGGCCTTCCCATGGCACAGCCCCGGGGACCCCATAGGTTGTGCCAGCACCTTGCCCTGCAGGCTTCAAGGACAGCCGGGCCTCCAGCGTCCCCTCCTTGTGTGGCTAGAGGCCAACTCTATGAAAACCTCAGGTTCCGTGCACTACTGGTGGGGCCAGGCTCTGGGGCACTTAGCTTCCCGGTCCTGATGACACGCCTCCCTTTCTCTCAGAAATGGTCTGAGAGCCTAATGGCATCTGTCCTGAGTCGCTATTCCAGAGGGTAAGGAATGACGGTGTTTGTGGTGCCCTGTTCCCTAGAGACCCTGGCCCCCTGGAGAAGCAGAATAGAGAGAGTTTGATGAGAGAGAGT